TTGTCCTGGTCGTTGAAATCCTGTCCAAGTTTAGGTAAAAAGCAAAAAACTATAAATTTATTTTACACTGGCCTTGTGGGAGCTGAACTTGAAGCCTAAAATTGTCCTATACTTCTGAAATTTCTAGAGCAGGGCGGAGTTTATTCACATGTTTTACTCCTCCCCCACCAGTAACTTCAAGCCTTAAACATATACTGCTTTCATAATCTGAAAAATTAATAAACCCTATTATCTTAAAATTTCCACTGCTTTTGTTTCATGCACTGCCAATTCATTGTCCAGTCCCATACTGTTATACTTAAGGCCGGAAACCCTTTCTCATACGTTTCCAAAACTGCTACCAATAGCTGCTTCTTTCAAGGATTACTCGGAGCTGAGCGTGCTACTAGTGTAAGTAGCAGATTAGTATCCCAAATCTTGCTGTTACTGGTTTTCCATGGCTCAGATTTAAAGCCTGAAGGAAACTCATCTTCATACTCCAACTGGACAACCGTTTTTCTAGTGGATTTACTCACTCCTAGCACACTGAAGCAGGTTCCTCGCTTGTGTGCGGGCTTTTTTGCTTTTTTGTTCAGATCGAAGTACTTCAGCCTCATGCTAAACCACATTGAGCACTGCCTGACCGCCACAGTTTAAATTTAATGATGAGTATTTTTCTTTATTCAAAATTTATGATGATTTACACTAATGATTTTGCATGATGATTTAATGCTATTTCAGCAATAAATATGCTGAGGGACAAGCCGCCGGGTACTTTTGTTGTGCGTGACAGCAATAGCTTTCCGGGTGCATTCGGCTTGGCGTTGAAAGTAGCTACGCCACCACCCGGCATACATCCCGGTAATTTTTTATCTTCGTTTTTCTTAAATACACATCAAAAAGTATTTGGAGGGAGTTTATTCAAGGCATACGTTTTGAGTTTAGCCACTGTACATCGTAATATTCTGGATTTAGGAGCTGTGGGCTAATATTGATTGGCGAGGTATAAACAGAAATCAAGCAATAAGACTAAAAGTAAAGAGAATTTTAGTAAGACGTGAAAGAGGATTCTAGCAAATGTTCTTCATAATATAATAGTAACGTTAATTATGATCACTAAAGTCACTGGTAATTGGCGTTGAAATTCGATATTACTGGGATGCATCGAATGTGGGGCACAGCCATGTCAGCTATTTCGCGTCATGAAAAAAGATATCGCATCTTTTACGAGTTGAGTGAAAAATTTAATTGAATTCGTGTGCTACAGGTGATGGTACCGAACTGGTGCGTCATTTCCTCATTGAACCGTCACCGAAAGGTGTGAAATTGAAGGGCTGTAACAATGAACCGGTTTTCGGTACACTCTCTGCACTGGTCTATCAGCATTCAATCACACCATTAGCACTTCCAACAAAACTGCTTCTACCGGATTATGATCCAGCCAGCACACCGGAGCACATTTCCGCTGCGCAGGCGCTTTTACAACAAGGAGCTGGTCAGCTTTTTTTCGCTTCTCCATGCTTCCAAGGTTTCTTTAATGTCGATGTGTTCTGGATGCATCTGATTTTTTTTAGCTATCTGATGGATAAGTAAAACGGTAATTTATTTTTTGCGAGGTTAAAAACTCATTGGTAATTGTTTTTTACCTAATTTTCTAGAAAATATCATGTTTTGTACTTACCCTTTGTAATATAGTTGAATCCCATTACAGTGTAGCCGAAAAGAATATGTTTTTTAATGAGTCACTGATTAAATTTTTTTCGAAATTTAAACTTTATTGAAACATGAAATTCGAAAAAATTGTAGCCTGTAACGTGACGTACGTAGTGTCTCTGGATACCGAATCACTTACTGGACCGGAAGCAGTGCGTCGATGTATCACCGAAGCATTCGAGTTGCAACGGCAAAAAATGGTACAACCTGTATCGGTACACTTCAAGGTGCG